ATATTTCACTACAAAATGGTCCATTTATATTCCCCTTTTGTCAGAGATGGGTATTCCATTGCCATTCATATGTTGTAGGTCATAAATTCAGCGAAGTAATCCAATATAGTCCTCCATCAAAGAATTTTAAACCACATACTGGTTTCAGCATGATCTCTTCAGATCCTACAGCAGTGTGTAAGATGCAGCTGAAGGCCAGGATTCCAGTTAAGAAAATGGAAAAGCATGAGGACAGGACATGGTAGGAGCTGTGAGAGCCAGGGCTGGGGCTGAGAGGCACCAGGAGGGAACTTTGCCCTATACAGACCTAGTGCATCTAGTGGGATCTGAGATACCTGCAAAGCACAGGGGCAGCAGAGAAGAGGAATCACTGGTTGGGTGGAAGAGAGTGGGTGGGTGAGAGTCAGGGATATATCAAAGAGGGATGGTGCATGAGAGGTGAACTGGAGTAGCTCAGATGCTTAAGAAAGGGAAGGGTACCCCAGGGGAGCCAGCAGCCTAGCAAGGCAAAGCAATAGATCAACATGGGCCATTTGGAGCTCAGTGATTGGACATGGCTAGAACACACCTGCAAAGAAACCTAAGAGAGATGAAGACAGCAGCAGAGACCAACCGAGAGAGACGGACACACAGGTGGCTTATAAAGTGCAACAGTGTTCGTTGCTTACGAGCCCAGCTAGCTCCCCACAAAGCACACATTTCCCTACTGAAACTGAGTCAGTCATGGTAGGCAATGACATTCATCACACTGATCTGAAGGTTTCTTGTTGCCTCACAGGTATGGAGGAATTTCCATTGGGGGAAAGCTCTTGGTTCTCCCTGTCACTGGGGAAGCAGTTGTTGCCTTTTTAAGTGACCTTGGCCAGATAATGAATGTGAGCGGGGTATGTAAAAGTAGGACTTTTGACTTGCTTAATTATAATGAAGTAGAAATTATTATGACTAGTGGGGAGGTGGGAGTCTTACATTTTTATTACTGTTTTCTAGGGCCCTATCACCAGAGAAGTCTCTAGAGAAATGTCTGATTTCCTCAAACATCTTGAAACAGAAGACAATATTAAGGTATTTGACGTGGACAGTTTGCTCTATAGCTAAACATTCATGTGAGCTGCTTAGTTTATTCTTGTTTTCCCAGCTGCGTTAGATTCCATCCCTCCTCTAGATGAAAACTAGAGAGGAACATCTTCCAGCTGCCAAACCCTCCCTTCTGCTCACTCTTTGCTGTTGCTAATTTTTTCCTTGAACTGCTAGTGTTAGCAGGAGCTCAGGTGTCAGGTTGCAGCAGGGCTTGACAAAACTCATCTCTGCCCTCTAGGTGTGGTTTAACAACAAAGGCTGGCATGCCCTGGTCAGCTTCCTGAATGTGGCCCACAATGCCATCCTCCGGGCCAGCCTGCATGAAGACAGGCACCCGGAGGAGCATGGAATCACCATCATCAGCCAGCCTCTGAACCTCACCAAGGAACAGCTCTCAGAGATTACCGTGTAAGTCGCCACAGCCCTCCCCACAGCTCCAACATTTTCACTTTCATGAAGTGCTAGGGTAGAAGACAAAACTGCTCAATCAGGCTCGTGAAAATGTAGGGCTTTCTGATGCTTTGTGGACCAAACTGCTTGACCATTCTTTCTCCCCCACACTTATTTGGAAAGTAAGCTTGCGTTTTACTCCATTTCCTTTGGACTTTTAATAACAAGATGCTCCTAAAGTTTACACAGATGCTCTCCTTGCCCACAAGAAAAATAATTGCCAGGGAGCTGGGAAATGCCAGCGAACTATCTCCCCAGGTATATTTATCTTAGATTCTGAACATTTCCCTCAGGCAGCCATGTCCTGGAGCTCTCCACAGATCTCTGCCTTCCTAAAGCTCTGGTTCCTACAGCGCAGCATCAGGCAGTAAATCTTGTTTGCACTGTCGGCGCTGCATCAGGCCCATGTGAAGAAGGGGTTGTAGGAGTGTCTTTGTTAGTGCAAGCTTCTGGAAAGTGGTCCTTGGTTTACGATCCCAAATACTGTGAGTGCTGCTAAACATGCCCAGTCCTGTCTGGGCCTCCGCCCCTCGGTGCTGCCTCTGGACCCCTTCTAGAGCCTTCAGGTTTCTGTACCTCACGCAAACCCTTTTGAATAGGAACTTTGAAAGAGCAGTCCTCTGTAACTATAAAATAGCATATGTTCATTAAACTGAAATTTATATAGCAGAGTTTTGAGAATTTATTATCTCTAACTTTACGTAAAGTATTTCCTGCAAGAAGTTTGTGTGTTTCCTTTCCATGAAAGTCGTATACTCACTGTGTGCGTGTAGACGGCACCATTTGGAGTTTTGTCAGGGCAATCTGTACATAGGACTCCACTTGTGCTTAAAGTTCAGGCTGCAGTTCAGCCCTCATCTATGCCCTCAGCCAGGGTAAACAGAGCCCAGTGCTAGGCACCCAGCTTATCAGTGGAGTGAGTAACATCACCTACTGGCTGACCAACTACTGTGGCGACATCGTTCTCCTTTCAATTTGGTTTATGTTATAAACATTTTCCAAGATGTGCTTAAATAATATAATTTATTTCTTTCAACAAAATGTATAAATTCCAAAGATATATGATATCTACATAGAAAACCCAAGGGAATCTATATAAATTAGGTTGAGAAAAACATTGTAGTATATGAGATAAATATGAACAACCACTTCACTATACTGTTGTCTTAGTTACTCTTCTCTCATTGCTGGGACTAATACCCGACACTCAAAATGAAGGAAGGAAAGGTTTGTTTAGCTCACAGTTACTGGAGGTTTCAGTCCATACGCATCTGGGTCCAATGCAGAGCAGCACAGAGCAGAAAGCAACCTTTCCTGGTGGTGGCAAAGAGCAAGAGCTCAAGGGAGGGGTAGCAGCAGCTCAAGCAGCTAGCTTCTCTTCCCACCTTACATTGTAATGCAAATTACCTGCCCCAGGGCAGGTGCAGCAGGCACACCCACAGTAATCAATCACAAACTCCCAGAAGCCACCCCAAGACTGCTTAAGGCTTTGGGGGGGGGGACACCTAGACACAAACCATAACGACTGTAATAAATAATTAGAACACCTAATAAAATAAAAACTTGTCTAGAAATATTCACACAAAATAAACAGGTAATTCATAAATGTCCACTTGATCTTGACCCAGATTGATTAAGTTGATTAGGAAGGACAATGGGCTTTAGGCTAGGGACAGGGAGTCTGGAGTCCTGGAGTTGGGTAACAATAGCTAGAGCCTGCCCTGGGCCTTCTCCTGTTTCTGTTTCTCCTTCTACACCTCCCTCTCTCCCAAACTCTGGTCCTGCTGCAGGCTGACCACTTCAGTGGATGCTGTGGTTGCCATCTGTGTGATTTTCGCCATGTCCTTCGTCCCAGCCAGCTTTGTTCTTTACTTGATCCAAGAGAGGGTGACTAAAGCCAAGCACCTCCAGTTTATCAGTGGAGTGAGCCCCACCACTTACTGGCTGACCAACTTCTTCTGGGACATTGTGAGTGTTGGGCTTCCCCTCACCTCCAGGGCCCAAGGTGATGCTCATGTGTGCTCTGGTGGGGCAGACACAGCAGGGAGGGGGCTTGTGCTTCTGGGACTGCTGGAAGTGAGAAGATCATGAGTTTTCTAGTAAGGGAGTAGGGTGTGTCAGTCAGCTTTTCACTGCAGTGACAAAATACTTGAGAAAAATCAACTTAAAGGAGGAAAGACATACTGATTTACTTGGGTTCATGGTAGGTTTCAGTCCATGCTTTCTGGGCATGTGGTGAAGCAGGATGTCATGTCACAGGGCAGCAAAGCTGCTCCTCTTACACTAGCTGAAAGCAGAAGTGGAGGGTTAAACAGAAGGAGGCACCATGGACAGGATATAATCCTAAAGGTCCCGGTGGCCTAATTTCTCCACCAAGGCCTACTTCATGTTTGCATCACTTCCCAAGACCCCTGTCATATCTTGGGAGACTAGGAACAGCTTAACATATATTTTCTAGTGAAGAGCTATTTAGACAAGTGGGATCAACCCATACTCCAAGAGCTAGAGGAGCCTGGTTTCACCCTGCATTTCACAGAATGAGAAGCATAGATCTTAGAGACTCAGTGACTTACTGCCCTATTTTCTCTCGGAGATGAACTATGCTGTCAGTGCAGGACTGGTGGTTGGCATTTTCATTGGGTTTCAGAAGAAAGCTTACACTTCTGCACAGAATCTTCCTGCCCTCATCGCGTTGCTCATGCTTTATGGGTGAGTTGTTTGGGCCACTAGTTGAGGCCACTGAGGGGAAACCAAGGGAAGAAGTGTTTCCAATCATCTTTCTGGAAAATGGAGACTTTGGAAGCAACACAAACTATTCAGTGAAGTGTAAAAATGAGCTTCCTGGGATTTGTAACTCTGTTTCGCTAATCCAGCCTAGTGTGGAAAGCACTGCAGGTAGAGAAAGCCCTGTGCATTGTGTGAAGCTTTATAATCACAGAGCACACACACAGCCACTGTCTCATTGGCTCCTTACAAAATCTGGGAGGTAGTCAGGATAGGCATCATTTTCTGGTTAAAGATGACAAACAGAAACCAGGGGATGGAGTGTCTCTTTCCCACCCTGGACTCTGACCAGTTGAAACATGTCATATCATACGTGAGGAAAATGTATTGCATCTTGAGGTCAGACTGATGGAATAGAAACTGGAACTCTGTCCCACAGAGTTGTATCATCTCACACAGGTGGGCAGTCACTCCTATGATGTACCCAGCATCCTTCCTGTTTGATGTCCCCAGCACAGCTTATGTGGCTTTGTCTTGTGCTAATCTGTTCATTGGCATCAACAGCAGCGCCATCACCTTCATCTTGGAATTATTTGAGAATAACCAGGTAAGCATGGCTTTCTTCTCTCTTGGTTTCATGCTTCGTTAGTAGGACACTGGCAGGACGTACACAAGCAGAGCCATTTGTACTATATACTTAGCACAGGGATGAGTAGCACCACTTCCCTCAGCCACTTCCTCTCTCCCTCTCTCTTTTCCACCTTCCCTCCCTCTCTCCCTTTTTTCTTTCTTGCTGATCTATGTGCCCTCAGTACAATGCTTTTCTAAACTTAATCTCAAGCTATAACTTCTCTCTCTCTCTCTCTCTCTCTCTCTCTCTCTCTCTCTCTCTCTCTCTTCCATAGCACATTTAAATGTTTTCAAAGTGGAAAAAGAACAAAAGATGCACAATGAAAAACCTCCTTCCTACTTCTATTTGTTTTTCGGTTTTTAATGTATTTGGTTGTTACAGGGTCTCATTGCACAGTTCAGACTCGTAGTGATCCTCCTGTTTTCAGCTTCCCTAGCACTGGGATTACAGGCATGTGCCACCACGCCTAGTACTGGTGGCTGCCTCAGCATGTGGTGCTGGGGATTGAATCCTGGTCCCTGTGCTTGTCTAAACAGGCACTTAGTCTGCTGAGCTATCTCACCAGACCCCAACCCCCATTTCTTTCTTTCTTTCTTTCTTTCTTTCTTTCTTTCTTTCTTTCTTATTTATTTATTTATTTAGTGGTACTAGGGATCGAACTCAACATCTTGCCCTTACCAGGCAGGCCCTTAAATATTACTAAGATATATCCCCAGCCTCCTACCCCTATTTCTGAGTCACTTAGTTTCCTTCTCCAGACACAGCCTTAAGAATTTCTAGTGTTTTCTTGAACATATAACCAAATACATAAATATTCTTTCTCCTATATTCTTAGACAAATTCACACATACTAGCATACTGATATACTGTCCTGTACCCAAGTTAATTCTGAGAACAGGCTTGGGAAGTCCTGGTGCTGAATGATTCAATTTTAAAAGCTATAAGGTCCAATTGTCTTTTGTGCACACTTTCTGACACCATCTAGAGATGTCGTACTGAATCCTTAAAAAGACAAAAAGGGCAGTGGCTGTGGAGCTACCTTTACTCCATACCCCACTCCCAGAAGCTGTGCCTGAGTCCTGCCATGCCTCTCCCCAGGACGTTTGGGCCCACTCCGGTGCCTGTGTCCCCAAACATCTCACTGGCCTTTCCTTTCATCATTAATTCTTTGAAGTTCAGGGCAGGGAAAAACCTATGCAAAAGCCCCCAGACAACCACCTAATCCCCTGACGCGAGAGTCATTCATCCCCAGACCTAGTCACGTTTTCTGCGGCTGCTAAGTAAGAAATGAATTATAGAAATGTGACAGGTCAGGCATGGTAGTGCAGGCCTGCAATTCCTACACTGTGGAAGCCTGAGGCAGGAGGATTGCAGGTTGAAAACCAGTCTGACCCTACCTCAAAATTTAAAAAAAGGGGGTATAGCTTTTTGCAAAGGCCCTGGGTTCATTGCCCAGGAACACACACACACTCACTGAGTCACAGTCAGACTCAGACCCCAGAAGGGAGAGGGGATAGACAAGACGCAGATCCAACAGATGGACAGAACATCCTAGTGGATGGAAATTTTATGGATCGGAGCTATTTCCATCATAGGCTCACAGTGCACTCATTCTCAAGAGTGTATTAGAATAAATAAGTAGCAAATGTAAAGCAACTCAGAACAGTCTCCCTTCTATGGCATCACTGAGCCACATACTGAACAGCCATTTACCAAGCACCCTTCTCCTACAAAGACTGGTTACTTGAGTACATTATCAGATGTGCCAACATCCCCCTGCCAGTGTCCTGGGTTTCAGTAGTTGCTGCCCCTGTGGCCAGGAGGAATTTACTAGATGAATATCATGTGTTGGGTACACCAGAGTGAATAAGCGTGACCCACTGGTCATGCCCCCAGGGACTCTTGTTCTAGAAAAAAAATGACCGGGACACCAAGTTAGCAATGGACATAAGCTGCACTATATGACATTGCATAAGATAGTGCGCTATATGCCATCTAAGGAACAAGGCTGGTACAAAGCTACAGATCAGAGTGGGCCAGAAAGCTGGCCTACAAGACTGAGGACAGTCTTAGGGCAGGACATTTAACTTGGTCTGTCCTGGAATAAATAAAATTGTATCAGCCCATCTATAAATAAGGGACCATCCACTATACCCACTGTGCAAATGCTTTATTTTAGGAAAATAATTAGGAGCCAGCCCCTGCTCTCCAGGGTGCTAAGGACTAGTGGAGAAAGTAGGCAGGTTAAAACAATGAATAGTAATAATGAGAGCATGGTAAGTACTACTGGAAATGGATGTTTTACCATGGGACTCTGTGAAATTTAAGAGCAAAGGGGCTATTTGAGCAAGCTCTCTAAAGAAGGGCAGGAATCTGTCAGAGACCCGAAAGGAAGAAAGCATCCTTTGCTGCTGAGAGCAATGGGTACTAGAAAGTGAAAATGCAAAGGCCTAGAGGCAAAGACCTGGTGCATTCTGAAAAAAAGAGGGAATAAGTAGAGGAGAAGGAGGGAACCTGAGAAGAGATGCTCATGCTGGAGAGGAAGCAGACTGTGGGGATAGCTGGGCCAGACAGAGTGGACACCTGGGCTTACCTAAGCATCACCAGCTTCTCCCTCTTGGAGTAACATCTACCTTTTAGTGGGAAACTGTGCCCAACACTCCCTAGGCAATGGCAGCTGCCCTGTTCAGAGCTGAGAGGCAGACCCAGGTGTTGGCTCAGGGCCTACTTTTGGGTGGTTCATGCAAGACTAAGATACAGATGATAAAAAGCCTCCATCCAGGGACAACTCACAGCTGTACCAATTGAGATACCTGGACCACACTCCCAGGAGCTGCCTGAGGTCCTGCAAACAGCTGCCTGGAAGGGCTCCAGGTGATCACAAGTGCATCCGCAGGAGAGCTGCCATGCAGCCCGCAGGAGCGGCTGCACCTCCCCAGATAGCCCTTATCTGCACAGCTACCCAGGGTTAGGGAAAGCAACGCACCAGTCCTGGAGTTAGCTCTGGCCTATAGCACCGAATGCTGTAACTATGTTGAAAAATGCTGCCTTAGTCTTGAGTGAGCAGGAGGCTGTCGACTGCAGCAGCAGAGCAATGCCTAAATTAAAGGAGCTTGTTTCTTCAAGCTCTTCAGGCAGCAATTCTGACAATGAGTTGACAAAAAGTCACAGAGGAAAAAGCAAGCTGCTCCAGAAAAGCTTGTAAAGAAGCAGAAGACTGGTAAAACTTCAAGAGCTCTGTCATCTTCCGAACAGAGCAGCAGCAGCAGCAGAGATGATAACATGTTTCAGATTGGGAAAATGAGATAGGTCAGGGTTCGGACTTTAAAGTGAAAGTTCTAATTGATGTTAGAGGATATTGGGTGGATGAAACCAGGAAGGTGAAAATGAAACCAGGAAGAAAAGGTATTTCTTTAAACCCAGAGCAGTGGAGCCAGCTGGAGGAGCAGATTTCTGACACTGATGATGCAGTAAGAAAACTGTAGAATCTGAGCCATAACAATCTGTACTGTTGTAGTTGTTTTACTCTGTCTTTTTACATTGGCTTTTGTTTTCTAAATGTTGTTTTCCAAGCTGTTGTATATTTGGATTGCAGAACAATTTGTAAGATGAATACTTTTTTAATGTGCATCATTAAAAATGTTCTGAGTGAAGCTAATTGTCAACCTTATTAAGGAGGATTGCTTTGTGCCCACCACCTAGTGTAAAATAAAATCAAGTAATTCCACTCAAAAAAGAAAAAGAAAGAAAGAAAGAAAGAAAGAAAGAAAGAAAGAAAGAAAGAAAAGAAAAGAAAAGAAAAAGAAAATGCTGCCTTGATCTAGGAAGATGTCACCTCCTGCCCACCAGAAACATCCAGGGAGCCTCAGCACTGATTGGTCATAAATTGACTGCCTCCTTGGCCCTGTCCTGAGGCACCACCTGCAAGCACTTAAGGACTGTCCTGTCAAACCACCTGTGTTCTGCTTGACAAATCCCTCCTCAAGGGACATCAAAGATGTGTTCATCTGACCACTTCCCCTACTCCTTCCTTGTGGGGACATCTGGACTCACCTGCTCAGGACAGAGCCCGCAGCCTCAGCTAGCACTTCCAACAGTCATATGTCTCTGTTTCAGACGCTGCTCAGGATCAACGCCCTGCTGAGGAAGCTACTCATTATCTTCCCTCACTTCTGCCTGGGTCGGGGCCTCATTGACCTGGCACTGAGTCAGGCTGTGACAGACGTCTATGCCCGGTTTGGTAGGTGGCGGTCAAGGCCAATAGTAGTGGACCCTGCATGCATGGAGACTGGGAGGCTTGCTGTAGAAGTTCCTCTATCAGCTCTGCATCCTGGGCTGGGGCTGGGAGGGTATCTAGATGCTGCTTCTCTGGACTGGCATTGCTCTGCCACCTAGAAGGGACTAGGGTGCCTCTGTTTGCAGGCTGTGGAAACACAGAAGGAGTCAAGAGTTGATTTTTACTCTTCCCACTCTGACTAGGAAAGCTAAGATGCCAACCATATTTGTCTTTTAATCTATTCTTTCCACAAGGCCCAGTCCAGTTGGCCCAGGTGTCATTTTACTCTGATCCTTAGGAGTGAGTTAGGACACCTGGTGCAGACTCAATTCCTGTTGATGTCAGTGGCTTCTCTCCCCAGGTGAAGAACACTCTTCAAATCCATTCCGGTGGAACATGATTGGGAAGAACCTGGTTGCCATGGCAACTGAAGGGGTGGCGTACTTCCTTCTGACCCTCCTCATCCAGCACCACTTCTTCCTTACCCGATGGTACATGCTTGTCACATCCTTAGGAAACCAATGGGCATCATGGTGTGTCCAAAACCAGAGTTTACATGACATGGTCACCTCTTTCCTCAGAACCTGTATGATGGTTATTTACATTCTCAAGGCCAGCTTGCTTTGAATAACGTAGAGGAGAGATGGGTTAAAATAGGCATGCTAGAATTTGGGCCATCACTCAACTTTAAAATACTTAAAATGCAAATTGCTAATATTTAATCTTCTCATTTAATTCCTGCATACTTCATTTTAAATTGAATTAGATGATAAGATTACAAATAACAATGGCTAAGGAATATCCAAAGTACTAGGAAATAGGTTTATGTATTCATGAGAAAAGCAACAAAACAGGTCCCTTTGTTAATTAGAGATGTACATGGGTAGATAGCTGTCAACATTAACTTCACCAGGACTTCTCAACAGCCAGGCCAGCTGACCACAGCCCCAGCCCAGCCACTCTCTCCCAAGATTCTCCTTCCCCCATTCTGCTCTCAGACTCCAGGGGGCAGCCCCTCTGTCGGCCAGATCTTTACTGACCAGGAGCAGGGCCCTGGAGTAGAATCACTAAGTCCTCCCTAACAAATTTTCTTAACCTTTCTTCTGGGGCCAACTTGTCTGATCACATGTAAATAAAGATTCTGAGAAGTCTTTTTTTTTTTTTTTTTTTTACATTTTGATCCATAGGGACCTGGTAGAAATGAATCTACTGTCCTACTTACAGGGTTGTAGGGATTGAGTGAGCTCAACACAGTTTGAATAAAATGTGATCAGGAAGTGGTTTTAGTTGTGGGAAACATTATAGCCACCATTGTCCTTGAGAGCCTGGCCATGCAGGCCTTGTTGGCCTCTGGCCACATCCTTTAGAGGTCTTTGTGTATAGGAGAGGAAAAAAGAAGAGAGTTAATTACCAAACCCAGCTTAATAGCTGCAAACTCATGCCAGCACAACTGAGTGGTGCCTGCCTGCCTTATGCTGTAGAGAGTACCAAAAAAGTGATCATGGTCTCTGGATTCCAGCTTATAGCCATTCTCAGACTGAGAGGTAACCAGCCAAAGGCGGTGGCTTTTGGTGGAGGGAAGCCCTGCTTGAAGGTGCAACCACCCCAGAGAGAAAGACTTGTGCATGAATGGAGGGAGTTCAGAATAACCATGAAGGAAAAGATGAGGTGGGGAGCAGGAAACAAGTCTGGAAGCATAGGCAGAGCCAGGTCATGAGATGGCATCATGCTAATGATTTGGGACTCAAACTTGAGGGCAGCACAGAATCCCTGGGATGGTTTATGAAGGGAGTTACGTGGGAGCAAGATAAAAGACAGAGGCCATCTTGGTACCCAGGCAAGAGACAAAGAGGGTTGGATAGGGATGGCAGCCTCAGCAGATGGATTGATTAGAGAAAGAGTAGATCTGCCAAACAAGATTTGGCAATGGACTGAATGCAACCAGTGAGAGAAGGAAAGACTGGAGTCTTGGGTGGCTGCGGAGGGTTTCAGAGAGGAAGCTATGTCTTTAGGGATAGAAAGGATTCCCTTGGCTTGGGTAGCAGGGGTGTTGGAGCTGGGAGGTGGGAACGACCAGCATGGGCTGAGGACCAGGGGCAGATGCTATGGTTTGTAGAACAATAAGTGCAAGAGATGAGCAGTTAGAAAAAGTAGGTGGCACCTGGTTGCAGGACTCTGAGATTCCAGCTCCTTAAGGAGTTAAGGTTTTAGTCTACAGCAAATGGAGAACTATGAAAAATGTAGGGCCATGAGGTGACCAACTGATAGCACCATTTTGAAAAGGTTGGGCAGACAGAGTGCACTGGAAGAATTAGGAAGCTTGGCAGGTGGTAATTAGTCCTTGCTGAATACTTGCCAGAAGGCAAGGTTTTAAATCTCAACAGTTCTGGGGTGCTGCATCTTTACTCTTTCCAGACACTGTGCTGAGCTCATTTTCACATGACCCTATGGAATAGCTATCCTCTCTGCCTCATCATGTGCTTGATGGAGGCAAGGCTCCAAAAGTCCAGTGACATGCCCAGTGGTAGGCACGGGGAGATGAGGCTGGCACCCAGGCAGACATGAGCCCTCAGCCCTTTGTCTGAGCCCCTCCTCTCAGGGTTTCTTTAGGAAGTAAGCCCAGAAGATGGAATCCCAGGGGAGCAGAAAGAAAGGAATGTGAAGAAAAGTCAGATGAAAAATCTTGTCAGGAATGTGTGCTCCCAGCTCACTTCTGTCCCTTTTCCTTCCTCTAGGGTTGCTGAGCCAGCCAGGGAACCCATTGTCGATGAAGATGATGATGTGGCTGAAGAAAGAAAAAGAATTACTGGTGGGGGAAGTAAAACCGATATCCTAAAGCTAAATGAACTAACCAAGGTGAGGGATCGGTGTAGGTGTGCAGGTTTGGAAGTGCTGTTTGGACCCACATGGCACCAAATTGTCTTATGCCTTTTGTAAAATGAGTGGTTCCCTTATGCCAGGACTGTGTCTTCCTAATGTCACTGTGTGGACTCATCATCTCTATGTTGTGACTTGTTTTCCAAGGGCATCTGTTTATCTTGAATGTTGACAAACTTTCTCCATTCAATTTCTACACTGCCTGGGTCCACAGACTTTTCAGGGCTCATAGCTGCTGTCTTAATACCGTACACTGTGTAACCTCCTAGCCCTGGTGGTTCTCCCAAACCACCCTCTGTATCTTCTTCCTTTTTCTCTCCCTGCTCTAACCCTGCCTGAGTCCTCACCCCACTTATCTGGATCTTTCAGGTCTATTCAGGCTCCTCCAGCCCAGCAGTGGACAGGCTGTGTGTCGGGATCCGCCCTGGAGAGGTAGCAACCCTGTAGACTGGTGTGAAAGGGTTTCAGAAAATCAGCTTTGGTGCATAACTCTTCTCTCTTATAAAGCAAGACTGTCCAACCAGAATCTAGTGCTAGTCACATAGAGAAATCTATAGTTTAACCAATATAGCTCAAATATAATATAATAATATAATTTCATTTTGTAATGCCTATAACACCTTATTAATGAAGTATTCACCTCATGCCCATATTGATTGGGACTAGATAGGTTTTGTCAGTAGCCACACATAACTAGTAGCCTCTGTAATGGCAGCCCAGGTCTGAAATGCCTTCCTCAAACCTGGGGCCTGATATTCCATATCGTGTTGGTCTCTAGAGAAAGACTAGCTCTGTGTTTTCTTCTAGTGCTTTGGTCTACTAGGAGTCAATGGAGCTGGCAAAACAACCACATTCAAGATGCTCACTGGTGACACCACAGTGACTTCAGGTGATGCCACTGTTGCAGGCAAGAGGTGAGTGCCCTGCCCTTCCCGCCTTAGGGTATCTCTCACAGGTCCTGGTCCTTGTCTTCTTCCAGCATAGGGTGAGTTATCTTTAGACCCTATGTAAAAGTGAGTCACAGACTAAAATGAACTATATAGAAGAGGGAGCTTCCCAGATAGCATGGTCCAAAAAGTACAGGACGTAGACTCACTAGAAAAATGAATTTAGCTATGATTGTCATAGGAGCGCTCTGTTAAAGTGAGATCTTGGAAGCTCCAAGTCACTGGTTCCTCATCTCTTTGGGGTCACAAGCTCCTTTGAGCATCTGATGAACCCTTGTGCACTCTTCCTGTATAGGAACATTCCATTATCTCCCTACATACAGTTCTGCAAAAAAAATCGCAGGGAATTTACTAAGCCTTGGAACACACTTGTGCTTATGCTGGAGTTCCTGAGTGCCAGCTAAAAAACTTTCTCCAAGTTGAGTTTCTAGATGGGGGATTATGTAAGGGCTGTTAAACCCAACTTTATGCATTGGGTTTTTATGTGCCGACACTTGGCTTTTTCAGATCAGGGAGCATGAAGGGCAAACTAGCCAGTGCCCTTGGCTTCTGCAGGGTGACTGCTGTTGCCTACAATAAAGTTTATATAGACTGGTCTTCTGTGGGACAGAACAGAGAGGGTGAGCCCTCATTTGTTCTCCTCTTTGCTGCATGCTCCTTCAACTGCAAAGTTTACTCACAGTAAGTCTGCCCAGAGATTTGTAAGTGGCGACAAGCACTGCTTGCACGTACTTGATGAATGCCTCTTTGCCGCACCAGAAAACCATCTTTGACATATCTTGGTGCTCAGCAGGGAGGGAGAATCCTGAGCGCACCTCAGTGGCTCAGGTGGATTTAACTTTCCAGCTGTTCAAGATCATCCCTGTTGAGTCTGTAGCAGAGGAACTGGTGGGGTGGAGCCAAGTCGTGCGGGGTCTGTCTCATCTACTGAACTAGCTTAGCCAACAGCTAAGTAGGTAAGCAAAAGAATTATGGAAAGAGAGGGTCACTGAAGGTATAGAATAAGATCTTACCAGGTGACAACAAGTTTTGATGGAAGTGAGACACAGTCCAGTGACCAGCAGATAAAACTGAGCTGAAAGCTAGGAAGAAACCACAGGTTAAAGACTGAAATTCTCAGATGGCCTGGTTGTTCATATTTATCGAAGGGCTAACTTTCCCTGGTGGTTTTAATTACACTAGCCAGATTTTTTATGGCTTTTTTCACAGAGAGGAACTGCAATGGTTTCTCTCTATCTTATCCTTGTTTATCCATCTTTTATTTGTAAACCAATTCATCTATAAGAAGAAAGGGATAATATTAGACCAAACAATCTATGTGCAGTTTATTTTCCATCAAGTCAGTGTATCTCTCTCTGGTGGGGGGACATTAGCCAAAAGGAGTTGATAGAACCTCATTCACTCTAGCTCTGCTCCCTACTGGGCTCTTCTTGGTAGCTCTTATGGCTCCTCTTTCATTGACAGAATCTCTGTCAATAAACACAGATGGAAATGCGTATTTTCACTGGACGGGATCTATATTTTCTAGCTTCTACCCAAATGTCTGAAAGAGATTTAAAACTATCAATCAGTTTTTTAAACCTGATGTTCCCTTTGTTTTCAAACTCACAAGGGAAGAGACCCAATCCAAACCAAAGTTGGCTTGTGAGGAAAGAGGCATTCAGTTAACCTTAGACACTGAAAATTTAAAGGCTCTGACTGAATTCAAAGCTAGAATCCTGATGTTCATTTCTCTAGCCAAGAATTCTCTGCTTCACTTTTCAAAAGTGGTGTGTCTATCTAAAGCAAAGTGGAAAAGAGGAGGCAGCTTCCTTAGAGAGATCTCTCAGTCCCAGCTCTCTCGTCACCAATTTCTTTTTTTTTCCCCCTTGCAGTATTTTAACTAATATTTCCGATGTTCATCAAAGAATGGGCTACTGTCCTCAGTTTGATGCAGTTGATGACTTGCTCACAGGCCGAGAACATCTTTACCTTTATGCTCGGCTTCGGGGTGTTCCAGCAGAAGAAATTGAGAGGGTAAAACAATGATTTGTTGTGGTTGCTTGAGAGCTTGATAAATCATAAGCCTGCTTTGTGGAATATGTTGGTTTAAGTGTGGGAAACTCTAATAGTGCACCATCTGCTCATTTTCTGACAAATGCTCAGTAGCGTCTTCTTCCAAGTACTGTTCTAGAAGCCAGGGATACAGCAATGAATAAACCAGGCAAAAAGTAAATCCCTGCCTTCATATCTAAAAAGATGATGTATAGCATTACCTTTTAACAAGGTAATTACATTTTGGGGAATTTGACCTAAAAATACTCATTCCAAGTTAAAAAAATTTGATATACATAAAGTTATTCATTGTGTTCTAACTGCAAAATCCTAGATACTCTCCTGGATAGTAAATTGGTTGAGTAGTTTATGGTATGTATATGCAATAAAATTTTATGCAGCCATAAGTACAAGAAATACCTCTGTGAACTGATATGGAGTTATTTTCAAAATTTTGTTTTTCATTGCTAGTGAAGACATTTATTATAATCCAAAATTATTAAAATGTTTTAAAAATTACAAAAGAGACCATGTAGAATACTACATTTTAATTCTTTTATTTTTTAAAATTTATTTGTGTGTGTGTGTGTGTGTGTGTGTGTGTGTGGCCAGCTCAGCCCACCAGGGGGCAGGGCTGGCTGGCGTGTGGTGCTGGGGGATTGAACTGCAGTCCCTGGGCCTTGCTAAGTTTGTTCTAAGTAGGTGCTTTAGACCACTGAGCCATCTCACCAGCCCTACTTTTCCACATTTTAAGTGGATAAGGAGGAAATCGTGCATATATCTGCTTACTTTTATGAATAGTACATAAGAAGGATAAAGCAGAAAATGGTGAATTTAGTGACAAATGAGAGAGAATTGGAGTAAAAGGAAGAATAGAGTAATAACATTTCTCTGAGGGTATCTTTTGATATAGTATTACTTTTGGAAACATGTTAATGCTCTACATAGTCAAAAATAAAACATCAATAAGAATGGAAATGGGGTAAAAGGGAAAACCTAATGGTGAGTATGAGCTGAAATAAGCTCTGTTTTGCTTCAGATAATTATCATAATGATACAGAGGGGTGAAGGATTAGAATTGGATATATTATCATGAATTCAAACATAATGACTGAATAACAGACACTAGTCTGCCTCTTGGGCTGAAGGGAAAAAATGATATGAGAGACATTACTGGACCAGTTCACAAAACTGAACTCTGAATGGTAAAGCATAATCATGTTAAATTTATGTCAGTAAATTTACTCTCATAACTGAAGTGGGGCTGTGTACAGAATTACTGTTTTGGGAAATATTCACTGAAGTATTTGAAAGGTGGAAGCTCTGACTTTCTCTCAGCAGGGTCAGAAATAAACGGAGGGAAGGCACGTTCTTTTCTTTTTTTATTCTTTACATTATTTTTGTTCTTACACATTCTTGCAAGAAGAATGGGAAACTGAGTCCTAACAAAAAGTTTAAAATGCAGTTTACATTCTAGTGGAAGTGACAAACAATAGATATACAAGAAAAATATCCCATGTTAGAGTGTGTGAAGTCCTGAGAGGAAGAACAACAGAGGAGAATTGTTGAGCTGGGGTTTGCACTTTTTGGTTAGCAAGGCTCAAGGAAAGCTCAAAGAGAAGGAGACTTGTGAATGAAAACCTAAATGGGGCAATTAAGCCAGGTAGATATTTAGGGGAAGAACGTTCCAGGCACAGTTGAACAAATGCAGAAGGCAAAAGCTCAGTGAACCATCTCTAGCGACTTGCTGGTTTCTTCGTGTGTGTGTGTGTGTGTGTGTGTGTGTGTGTGTGTGTGACATACACCCTCACCCCACCTGTTATTCTCTATCACAGTTCCCTGTCAAGTTCCCTCAAAGCACGGTTACTAGCTACCATTTTCTTATTTCTATTGTCTGTCTCCCACTGGTGTAATCAGAGGCAATGGCCTTATATAGTGCTTGGGCTCAGAGTAGGTCCATGGAGTGCCCAAGGCTTTACATGTGTCCCTAGCTAGGCTTTGTGTCCTTGAACTTTCCAAAGAGACCCTCAAACTCTCCCTCTTGCACTCTTAGCCACAGTCCTGGGAACTAGAAGAGAAATGCTGACTCACTGTCTGCAAGGCTGAAGGCCATTTCCCAGGGGGCTGTGCTTAATGGCTGCTTAGCTGACTAGGCCACACTGTAGCCAAAAGTAGAGTAGAGAGGAGACTGGTCCTGAAGCCCTAAAATGTGTGCCAGAAAACCCGAGCCAGTGGGTGGCTCTGCGTTAGCCTACTGGACCTGTCATCCTGAAGGGTGAGAGCTGGGAATCCACAACTTTGAATAATGGAGATCTGTGGTGTTGACTTCTTCCTCCTTGCTAAATGGGATTTCTCTCTCTTCCTTAGGTTGCAAACTGGGGTATTCAGAGCCTGGGACTATCTTTCTACGCCGATCGCCTGGTTGGCACCTATAGTGGTGGCAATAAGCGGAAACTCTCCACAGCCATAGCACTAATTGGCTGCCCACCACTGGTGCTGCTGGTGAGGACACTGCAACCAGCAGAGACAACCAGCCTTGGGCTGACCTCTGCCTCTCTGGGTTCAGGGAAATACGTTTTGGGTCAGCAGTTTTAGAACACGCAGCAGTTTGCTTTAGTCTAGATTGCTCCCTGTATGACTCCTTTTGAGCAAATCAGCATAGTGCATTCTTGAGGGAAACAAATCCTAGCAAGGTCTGTGAGTCCCTGGAAAGTCTCTTGGGGCTTCACGAGCTCACCAAGGGGATGTTCACCCTACTTTGGAGAACACCAACAGTACCACCTCCTGAGGAAGACTGTGTCGGGGTCCAAAGTGGATAGAAACTTTGGCCTGGATCTTAGGCTTCTGTGACCTAAGCTGGACCAGGCCTCTTCCCCAGGGTGACCAGGCCCCTTCTTTCCCACGAAGTTAGAGACCTATGTAAGCAAGTGTCACACAAAGCTACCTTGGTTTTCTCCCTGCCTCCTAACCAATATGTACTTGAGGATTTTTTGTTTGCTTCCTTTTTAAAGAAAGCCACTGCCTTCATCATCCTTAATCCACTCATAGGCTTCTGGAAGTGCAGTTTCTCTACTGATTCACCTCTTCCATTTGTGTACCCCTATCTTGTCCAGCTGGGGAGCAGCTATGTTCTGTACTTACTTGTCAGATTATTCTTCTTAGAGACCAGAGCTGCTCAGAGGTGGTCAGCCCAGGGAGGATGCACTGACTAAACATGGCCGCCTCCAAGCCCACCCCCCACACTCTTTCCCACCCCACAGGATGAGCCCACCACAGGGATGGACCCCCAGGCACGCCGCATGCTGTGGAACACCATTGTGAGCCTCATCAGAGAAGGAAGAGCCGTGGTCCTCACTTCCCACAGGCAAGAGATTCCCAGGGCGGGGCCAGTGGATGGGCGGTCCTCTCCACTGCCTCACCTCTGCTCTCCTGCCCCATAGCATGGAAGAATGCGAGGCACTGTGCACCCGGCTGGCCATCATGGTGAAGGGCACCTTTCAGTGCCTGGGCACCATTCAGCACCTCAAGTACAAGTAAGCAGAAGGAGGGGGCACACCCTTCACTGCCTCCTGTGGGGCACAGCCAGGCCCTGTGCGTTCTATAGATACCTGGGAGGTCCTGCTGCCTTCTCTTCCTGCAGGTGGAGGCTAGTGGTAACTGGGCCCGTTCGCCAGATGCAGGCAGATAAAATTGTTGTGCTAGTACGAACTCCTTTGTATTGAGCGAACAGCTCACGGTTGAAAGCTGGCGGTAGTCTCTGGATGGGGAACATTTCCATTCCAGCATGGGGATTAGAGGGGCACCACTATCTACTTAGTACTGATTCATTTATCCTGACAGACTCAGAGCTCCTGGCCTTTCTCACCAGAGTCTGTAACAACTACAGGAATGACTAAGAGACCAAACAACTTGAGGATTAGTTTTCTTTCCTAGATTATTGTATGTTTTTGAGTATGTCAATTGGCCATGTGCGTTCTTCCTTGCATTTGGATGTGCCTAATAACCTGAGAAAATGTAAATTTATGGTTTTCATTAACTTATTTAATATGTGTATCAAAAGCCCAAAATACAAATTAGGCTATTTGGTGGAAGGGATACCACAGAATCCACCTTATCGATGCTGAGATGTTCAGTTTTGATGGCCCATCATAGCAATATGTTGCACAGAAAGCATCATTTTTTATTTGCACCAGGCAAGAGAAACGATTGAGGGTAAAGGTCTGATAGACTAGTGGTATTTGGAAGTTGGACATTTGACCCTGATTTTTTGAGTACCTACAGCCTGGAGATTAAGTCTATGGGAGCATCAGCATGTAATATCACCAGACTTGTGTTAACAACTCCCTGTGCCCAGCCACAAGAGGACGTTTCCCTACTCCTTTCCTCACATTCCTCAATTACCTCTATGATAGAGAAGGCGGGGAAGTATGTCCCTGCATAGAAGGACGATCAATTTCCTGGAGCTGAAAGTGAAAGGAGTCTTATTACAGAGAAGAGCTCTAGATTCTGAAGGAAACTTTTTGGAGCCCATGTTCATGTCCATGCTAGGCAAGAGCTCTATGCACAAACTAAGTCCAGCCCCATGGAGGGAGCATTGCAGTAGGTTATAAGTGACACAGTACATTCTGACACAGCTATGTGTGGTCCCCACCTGGCCATACACAGCCTCTGATGGACCACCCATCATCCACATGATAAGATCAGGTGACCGGAGGAGGGAAGCACTAATGGCCTGGCCCTGATAGCTCCATTTGCTTCTGGAAGCTTCCACAGTGAAGTACTATTTCCCCAAGCTTCTGCTGTGCCCTGGCCAGTCACATGAAGGCCAGTCAGCTCTTGGCACAGTCTGCACTGGTCATACTTCTTCATGGGTGGGGCTGGGAGCTCCACAAGGGGCTACGACCACACCGACCTTCAGCAAATCCATCTGCCCCACTTTGCCATGCAGATATTTAGACCTCTAAGCACTAGTACCAACTATTTTCTCCAAAAACTAACAATCCTTTTTTGTCTTTCTGCAACAGGGTCTTGCTATGCAGTTCAGGCTGGCCTGGAGCTCACTTTGTAGCCCAGGCTGGTCTTGGTCTTGCAACAATTCTGCTGGCTCAGTCTCTTGAGTGTGGGGATTATAGGCAAGGCTGTCACATTTTTTTCTCCAGGTCCTCAGCATGTACACATGGTCAGTGGGATGGACCTTTAATCCCCAGTATGTCTGATGATTCTAGTCTTTACCTGGAATTGCCTGGGAGCTCAGGCAAAGCCGACCTGTGTCACACTATGTGCCCCTAGGTTTGGAGATGGCTACATTGTCACAATGAAAATCAAGTCTCCAAAGGATGACCTCCTCCCTGACCTGAACCTAGTGGAGCAGTTCTTCCAAGGGAACTTTCCAGGCAGTGTGCAGCGGGAGAGACACTACAACATGCTCCAGTTCCAGGTCTCCTCCTCTTCCCTGGCCAGGATCTTCCAGCTGCTCATCTCCCACAAGGACAGCCTGCTCATCGAGGAGTACTCGGTCACGCAGACCACACTGGACCAGGCAAGTCCATTCCATGCCCCAGTGCAGAACAGGAGGCACCGCAGATGCACGGGTGCCCCATGAGGTGCAACTGACAGCAGAAACAGGAGTGACATTCTTGATTTTGAACAGCCTTCAGTCTTGTCCCACTGTCTATTAGGGTGCAACATGGCATGTCAGGAATTGTACTTTAATGATATTTTAGTAATCGGCAAACTTCATTATTTATATCATTTCCAACTTACATATTATTTTATTCTTGTTGATTTGTGGTGGTGCCTTTTTTTCTTTTCAAGTCAACTATTAATGCAGCATTTTTATATAGTAGTCATACCTATTTTAACTCTTCAGTTTGATGAATTTTGGTAAACTGTGTATTTTTAATGCAAATACATAAAAATTACTATCCTAACCACTTTTAAGTATACTAGTTCAGGGGTGTTCATTGCATTCCCATTGTTGTCACCATCTGTCTCTAAAACTTTTCATTTTACAAAAATGAAACTGTGGGGGGCTGGTGAGATGGCTCAGTGGTCTAAAGCACCTACTTAGAATAAGCTAAGCTAAGCAAAGCACAAGGACTGCGGTTCAATCCCCCAGCACCACATGCCAGCCAGCCCCGCCCCCTGGTGGGCTGAGCTGGCCACACACAGACAATAAATAAATAAATATTAAAAAAAAATGAAACTGTGTTTATTAGACAGTCATTTTCAGTTTTATTTTCCTCACCCATCTTGGCCTCTGGCAGCCACCATTATATTCTCTATCTCTATAGAACTAACTATTCAGGGTGCTTCCCAGAAGTGGAATCATATATTGGATGTTTTGTGACTGGCATATTTCACTTAGCCTACTGTCCTCCGGTCTCTATATGTGTTAAGATTTTCTTACTTTATGAGGCTAAATAATATTCCACTGTATGTGTATGTTATACTTTGCTTATCCATTCACTCATCAATGAACATTTGGGTTGTTTCTGAGAAAGATTTATTTTTAATGTCTCAGTTACTCTTCTCTTATTGCTGGGACAAATAAATGACACTCAAAATGAAGGAAGGGAATGTTTATTTAGTTCACAGTTACCAGAGGTTTCAGTCCATACTCAGCTGACTCCAAGGCAGTGTGGCACATGGCAGAGAGCAACCTTTCATGGAAGTGGCAAAAAGCAGAAAGAGCAAAACGAAGAGGCAGCAGCTCAGGCAGTCAGCTATTCTCACTCCCCTCCTTACATTGCAATGAAAATTACCTGCCCTGGGTAATGTGCAGCATCGGTATGCACAATAATCAGTCATAAACTCTAGAAGCCACCCCATGACTGCATGAGGCACCTGTACACAAACCATAGCAAATGTATTTTTTTTTTTCATAAACATCTTTAAAGACAGTTCAGTAAAGCAGTGGAAACAGGCAGGTCTCCCTATATTCCTTGAGGAACTGACCTACCTGTACCTTCTTTATTTTCATTAATGTGTGTTTGCAATACAAATACTTAAATTCTTTTTGGGGAACTATATATTTCTCTTGATCATATTCAATCCCTTTACTCCTGCTTTTCCCTGGCCTCCTTTCCTTTTCCAAATAGTCTGCTTCTCCGTTTCTTACAATCTCTCTTTTATTTTACTCTTTAATTAATTTATATTTTTGGTTTCTCATGTAAGAGAAACATACGATAGTTAAATTTCTGTGTCTGGCTTATTTCACTCAACATTATCCCCCTGCCATTTCCTGCCAGCCTGAAGCAGGTGGAGGACACACTGGACTCCTTAGGCAGGACTTGTGGCCACAGTGCACATGAATGAACAGAAGATAGATCAAATACCTATTTTGCTCCCAGTTTTTGAGATTGTGCTGGCTGAATCCCCCTTGCCATGTTCACCCCAAGATCTTGTGCCCAAAGCCCTGTGAGTCCGCCAGCAGGAGCTCCTTTGGCTTAGCTGGAAGGTCTAAAAAGCAATCCCTGTCCAGGCACTTGGGTTTAGGTTTCTGTGCGTGGGCTTTCTCACCTAGGTAGGACAACCCCAACAGGACTGTACATTAACTGGAAAAAATAGAGCAGTGGGTAGGTGAGTGTGGGGTGCTGTTTTTTTTGGGGGGGGGGTTGTTGACTTACTCTTGTTCTTTTGCTTCCAGGTATTTGTGAACTTTGCTAAACAGCAGACTGAAACTCATGACCTCCCTTTGCACCCTCGGGCTGCTGGAGCCAGACAACAAGGCAAGGTAGCCACTGCCCTTTCACAGCACTGGTGTAGGCAGATGCTTGCCCAGCTGGCCCTATGCATCTCTGGTGCCCCAATGCTCAGACCCCCACCACATCCCCAACACATCCTCACCACTCACTGCCCCTTCTGTGCTCTAGGATTTATGCACCAGTGATTGTAGAGGTCCTGAAGTAACCTGGAAACCATTCAGACAGTATGGGAGGGCATTTTTGAAAGAAACATTCCCACATATTTTGCTTATTTAAAAACCTGATAATTTAGAAATAAGAAGAAGAGAAGATAGGAGAGATACTGGAATACTTCACACCTGTGGTCATAATTTTATATTTCAAAGGAAAGAAATTACTTGCCACAAGGGGTACACATTTGCTTAGAGCAAGAGCTCTTTGTTGTCTATGAAAGCATCAAGATGATGGAGGAAGGAGCGGTAGCTCTGGGTTCTCTCCTGCCCTTTCAGAGAGTAAATCAAAGCTTTCCCCAAATAGCAAAGGTAGGCAAGCCCCTAATTTTCTTAGGGTTGTCATTCTTCCCAACCAACTTTTTGATTGCAAGAAAAAGTCAAATGCATTGGATGACTGAAACAGTCTTCTCAGGGCAGTATTTGTGGTGAATGTTCCCATCGCTTCCTGGCCAACACAAGCCTTGTGGCCCTATGGCAGTGCTGTCTTTGTCTCTATGCTCAGAGGGCCCAGGAATACCAAGTAAAGAAATCTATCTAAGGAAAGTTAGTTTTGCTGATTTGCCAGCCAGTTTCTCATCTTGTAGTTACTGTTAATTCCAGCCAAATATTATTCCTGGAGAGCCTCTTACAGTTCTGAATCTTTTTTATAACACAGAACACAGTTAGGTATTGAAATTATTTCCCAGAACTACTTGCCCTCCCTCTGCCCCTCTACCCGGCATATTTCTACTTACAGAGATAACACCAGGTTAACCCTGGATCAAGTCAGGGTATTGAAGGTCTTGATCTATAGCAATTAAATGCTATGACTTTTCCTTTTATTAGCTGAATTTATTTATTTATTTATTTATTTATTTATTTATTTATTTATTTATTTTGCGGATCCGGGGATTGAACTCAGGCCCTTACGCTTGCCAGGGAAGCACTTATTCTACTGAGCCATCTCCCCAGCCCCTAGCTGAATTTTTTTCTACTACATTTGTATTATTTTAATGGTTACAAATGTTAAGAAACCCATCAGAATGCATTTGTTAAATTGGTATATATTTATACTAAATTTCAAAAGTTCAAAGCCCAACTTTATGACATACTATCCTTTACAGAGGTTGGTAGGCATCTGTTGTGCAGTGAAGTCTGTCATGAAACAGTAACTACATTCATTTTTTACATTATAGCACATTGAAATAATTTTCCTTAACATACCGTATGAAAAGAGTAAATTGTCTCAAGGAATTCTAGAGAAGATGAACAACTTGCTTCTGAGTAAACAGGAGATGAGTTGGCCAGATAGCTCAGTGGATTAAAGCTTAGGTTCAATTCTGTGGCCGGCCCTGCCCCCTGGGCATGCTGAGACAGCAGTTGAGACTGGGCTTGGTGGCACACAACTGTAATCCCAGTGCTTGGGAGGCTGAAAAACAGGAGAATCACTATGAGTTCAATATGTGTAATGAGACTCTGTAGACCCTGTACTAAATACATTTTTTAAAAAAATCATGAGAGCTGCTTCAGAAGTTCAACACGATAATGGCCTCACAGATCCAGGATCTGAGCAAAGAATACACAACTACACAAACATGTCATCATCTAGAGATCTGCGTAGGATCCTTGCCCCACTTCAACATACATTTAACCCCTAAATTCTTCTTTAGAAAATGATTTTTAAACCAGTTACCTGGGAAAACAGCATTTTATCAGACTGAGAAAGCCTCCCTCTGAGTCCTCGCTTCCCCTTCAATACCTTCACTTGGTCCAAGAATTCACATGAACTTTATAACTAGAGACAGCATCTTTCCAATTAGAAGGGTTACTGGGGTGTCTGCTGCTCAAGGAACATGGATTTAGTGCCTATGGTTGGTCTGGAGCCTACTTTACTGAATTTCAGCTCAAATTTCTTCTCATCTTCTAGCCCTCAGTCAAATGTTCATGGTTCCTAGGAACCACCTCTGTAGGAAGTGGACTAAGATGATTTAGAATTCAAGGCTGACCTAATTTATGACTTCCTGGTCTTTTTTAAAAAAAATGTATTTGGTATAGGGTATCACTATGCAGCTCAGACTCGTAGTGATCCTCCTATTTTTCAGCCTCCCCAGCCCTGGCATTACAAGTGTGCACCACCATGCCTGATCTCAGGGGCAGGGCCAGCACAGCAGTGGTGCAGGGGGTTAAACCCCCATCCCTGAGCTTGCCTAAGTAGGCACTTCATCTGTTGAGCTATCTCACGGGCCTGACTTCTCAGCTTTTTTTTTTTTTTATTTTTTTAAAAATTTATTTATTTATTTTGTGTGTGTGTGTGTGTGTGTGTGTGTGTGTGTGTGTGGCCAGCTCAGCCCACCAGGGGGCGAGGCTGGCTGGCATGTGGTGCTGGGGGATTGAACCGTGGTCCCTGTGGTTTGCTAAGCTTGTTCCAAGTAGGTGCTTTAGACCACCGAGCCATCTTGCCAGCCCTTCTCAGCTTTTAAGATAATAAGGGCATTGTAACTTTTAGGGTAAGGTGCAGAAACACTAACCAAACAATTCCAGAATAGCCTTTGGAGACAACGCTGAGGATATAGTCTCTCTAAGATGTAAGCATACATGCACATGGGTATGTGAGTCTCCATAGTGAACATCAGGGTCCTGACAGATCATGGTTTGGCCATTTCACAGATAAGGAAATAAACCTAGCCTGGAACTTTGTGGTCTGACAATATCCTCAGCAGAGCTTCCTCCAGAGATACCTGTTTAGATGTTTAACTGTTAAAATCTAAAAGCAGTCACATCTATCTTAGGAGAAAACCAAGACAGTGAAAGTCCATTTGTTCTCCTTCTGCAGGTCTGACCTCCATCCATACTACTCATTCCCTACATCTGGAAAGAAACTGTGGCAGCCGGAGTACAGGAGCTTCTGTCCATAGGGTCATTGGAACCACTGGCCAGCACAAGTGATCCTGCTGCAGCAGGAAACAGACACATGAAGTTATATGGTGAGATCACAGGGAGGCTCCCTTAGAAGGAAACCCAAGCTGACTGACTCACCTGGACAACCTGGTGGTGACATTGACCCCGACAAACAAATACAACTTTGCATCTACTCCAGAGAAGAACTCCAAGTCCAGCCCACTCGTCAATTTGACCTCAATATTGCTGTCATTTCAAAAGGCTTGTGTTGAGGATAGGAGCTGTTGGTTACTTTCAAGAAATAAAATGCAAACCACTCATCACAATCTATCCTATTAACTGATCTCCCTGGTATAGTTTCAGACACTCTCTGCAGGTTTGTGCTATCCCCTGTCATAGCCATAGGCCTCCCTGAGAGTCATTGCCACAGAAATGGTGGTGATGAAAAGATTCTGCACCAGTCACACAGAAGTAAATGGTCTTACAGTTGCATATTGAGTCTTTATACGGCATAACGAATACTTGAAATAGATGATGCATGTGAACAATATCTAATATCAGTGGGTATTAGCTGAATCTCTTTTCCACTCCTGTTTGCCCAGATTATTTGAATGTGTACCTCACAGGTATAATTAGATCAAGAGCCAAAGAGGGATAGACAGGTAGAGGTGGATTGTTGACTGCATATGAGCACAGATATGTCTTTGTAAATGTATAAGTAAGACAAAGCCTCGTTCATACAGTGCTGAGCGCACCTTCTGCAGCAGTGTGTGAAGGAAATGACTCACTACCTATCTAGCAGGCCACATGAGAGCGCATCAAAAATCATACAATAATACTCTTAAGCTGCTTCAAGAGTGTTGAGAATGAGGAAAGCAAATGGAGTTCCTTACCAAGGCATCTCTCCTCCACTACTTACAGATAGGCTTTATGAGAAAACCCCTTCTAAAGCAGAGCTGCTAGCTGCACAGCAAATCTGTGATTACTTCCCAGAGCCCCAGAGGGAGAGAGGAAAAAAGGGAAGAGAGAGATGCTGAGGCCCAGGGACTGCTACCTAGAGAGGCAGAGCAAAGTGAGCAGGAGTTGGTCAAGTCTATAGCTGGGCTGCCCCAGTAGAGGAGAAGATAGAGGACAGAGGGCTGCTTAAGTAAATCTTACAGAGCTCCTGCCTCTCTAGTTTGCTTCTAGTAGATGCTAAGATAATAATTGCCAAAAGGATTATAAATGTACTTGGTAGACCCATATCTTAATCTTGTTATAACATTTTATGAACTCTGTTAATGGCACAAACCAAAACCTCATTTTTATTTTAAATGTGTTTAGTACAGGGTCAACAGGGTCTCACTACACAGATCAGACTCGTAGTGATCCTTCTTGTTTTTTAGCCTTGCAAGTGCTGGGATTACAGGTGTGCACCACCATGCCCAGTCTCATTTGCTGTCTCAGCACACCCCTGGGGGTGGGGCTAGCATGGCAGGCTGGGGATGGAACGCCCAGACCCTTCATCTTCCTAAGCAGGAGCTTTTTTTTTTTTTCCTTCCATAATTTTATTGAGAAACAAACAGCAATGAGACAGTTTCAAACCAAATTGGTAGGACAGTTTCAATAATTAACACATTGCATACATTCTTCCTAGTGGTTAGTTGCTGTACAAGATGCAGACATGATATCCTATTTACAAACACCATTAGAACAAATCCCTCTATTCATTAAGAGAATGTAACTATATATCTATCCTAACCACTTTGAATACACAGATACAAAATGGACATTCATCTGTATCCCCTTTTTTTGTTAAGTTCCGTTATTTGAATATTGTAGGTGTGTTAACTCAGCATAATATTCTAAAAGAGTCCAGTAGTCCATAATAGTATTGGGTCTTCCACTTGACTGGCAATGTCAGAAATTGTTGACCTGAGTACCCCCACAGCTCAACATAACAGCATGGCTTTACTTCTTATATTTCATTTTTATACTTTTCTGCTGGATGGCCAAGACCAAGGTAAAGCAGGACCTATGCAACAAGAGTTGTAGCTTTTGGGTCTGATAAGGTCAGTGAAATCCCCTCAGGATTTATCCTGAGATCCTGTACAGGAGCTTTAATCCACTGAGCTATCTGGACGATTCCCAAAAATTCATTTTAACCAAAGTCAGAATAGAGACTTGGGAAAGCCCAGGAGGGTGTTGTTGAAACTTGCTGTTATACTGGGCTAGCTATATCATTTAAATTAGTGACTGAAATGTCTCAGGACAGACTAAGCAAGGAGAGAGGTTGAATATCCATTCACAATGTGAGGGTTTCAGAAAGGCATTGTGTACTAAGAAAAGTTGATTACAGGTGAAATCCATCCACTATCTTGAGAGTAAATCTTACTTTACTGTGTATCTCCACTCTACCTGATGTCTCCAGGGCAAGGGTTTTTGTTTTCTTCAGCTCCTGGAACACAGAAAACACTTGCCAATCTGGGAAACCTCAAATTATAAACGTTTAGTTACAAACAGTAAAAAAAGTAAGGCTAAGAAAGTCAGAATCACCTCCCTACAAACAAAAAAGAACAAAAACACCAAAGTTTGAACAACAGGGAAGCTGTGCTTTTTTAAAACACTAGTTACAAAATGTAAGCTGTAAAGGGGTCAGGGATTTAGCTCAGTGGTATAGCACCTGCTTGTTAAGCATGAGGTCCTGAGTTCAATTCCTGGTACCCACCCTCAAAGTAAGCAGTAAAAACCAAGGAGGAGATGACAAAAATTCGCAGTGCTTGGGTTGGGGAAGTAGTCCTATTAGAAGTTTAGCCCAGAAATCTGGTAGATGTGTTAATGTGGTAAAAAAGTCCCCTAGTCTGGGTTAGTAAAGGAGATTAATAAAAGAAGAAGAAGAGAAAATAAAGTAAATTCAGACAGCAAGACCATGAAGATGTTCCAGTTATGAGTTGCTGTCAGAGTTTCAAAGTATTTGATTCTTTGGGGAGCTCAAAATTTTGGAATAGTTTGAATCAAAGATGTTACGAAGGAGAAACCTATATAAACCCTCTAGTTTCACTTGCTTTTAGTTGACTTAAAAATACTAATTTTGGAGGTCACATAGCTAAGCAACACATTATTAGTCTCCCACTAGCTTTGCTGTAGATAACGCCTCTACCATGTGAGTTAGGGCAACAGCAGTTGCCTGGGTTACTTTTCAGATGTTTGAAGGCCACTTTTTCTGAAAGATGTCCAGTAGGCAACACAAAAAAGGTAAAAAAGCTTTGCATCTCTGTCTTTATATTGCATCTGTCTCACTTGTGTCCTTAATTTTCAGGGCAAACTCTACTCAATATTGTCTGCAGATGTGTTAATCATTTCCAGAAATGTTTTGTCCAGAACTATAATAGAGGGCTAACTGGGCCTTGGTTTGCCTCATCTCTCTCCTCCATATCAAGGCTAAAGACACCTCCTGGCCTCCATGATGGGAAACACCAGAAAATAACTGGAACCAAAAGGGGCACCATAGTTCTTGGAAGATTTTCATCTATTCCCCAAAACTTCACAAATACACCTCTCTTTATCCGCTTGTCTTTCTCCCTCATAATTCCAGCCCTGTATCTGTAACACCTTAACACCTTGGGAATGAGAAGCTGAATTCAAGCACAGCTCTCACTTCTCCATTCTTCTGCCACTTAGTAAAGCTCTTTCTTCTACCATCAATCCCTTAAGTCATTAGCTTTTTCCCATGAAAGTAGATTTCTAGACCTTTTCTTGGTTTCACAAACAGAATTCTTTTATTGTGAATAAAAACAGAAAGCCTGGTTTGTACCTGCCACTATGGCTCATCTAAAGAGAAAGGAAAGAAAGGTAGGTAGAAAGCTCTGGGCTTGGAGGAAAAGGTGTTTATGATGCTCTTTGGACTTAGACTGAAGCCCATGAGGAAGCAATGCTGTCCCAGCAGGCCCACGGATAATGAACAAAGGGAAACATTTCACCTGGATACACGGCCATGTTCACCTCGAAGGCGAGCTGATTCAGGTCCCAAAGGGACTCAAGTCCCTAAGCCCAGAAGCCTGGGAGTTTGGTTTCCTCTCTGTGGTGACTCAATACTTAGGAATTCTTCTGAGATTAATAGGTCATGACTCCAATGACCACATCTTAACTGTCAGGTTTAGGAAACTTGGACACCTATGCTTCGAAAGCTCCACATTCATAAAATACCTGCTTTCAAAGACAAAGTCCTGTATAATTGCTTGTATGCATTGGTTTAGTGCATAAGGAAACCAAGTCCCAGAGAAATAAAATTCCTTAACTGGCCATCCAGCTTTCTAGGCATGCCCCACCTAGCCATCCTCCAGCGGTTTCTCCAACAGGGCCAAGAGCTCACAGGTCCCTAAAGAATGACTTCTGGACTCAAAACCTTGGAATTTTCTGTCTAGTACTCTAAAACCTGTTTTCAGGGCAAGGATGGCTTCCTTCTGGATCAAGGGTGGTCTTAGAGATCATGCAGACTAGAGTCTACACATGGCACATGAAGTCCCTTGTTAAAACAGAGAAGGGAAGAAAAGAGGAGTAATCCTGGAGCACCTGGCTGTGCACTACCATAATCTAGTGTGAAGCTCCAAGGAAACCAAGAAGTTGAAATTTGAACCTAGGTCATTACAGAGTTTGCCGTTTAACAGTTTTCTCACTTGGTTTCTATCTGTAAATACTGTGTACATATGACATGAGCACTCATGAAGGTGTTCTCGTTAGGCAAATTCCTGATAAGGAGTCAGATATCAAGGTTCAGGAATTGTGTCCTTGAGGTAAGCTTTGCCCATATAAAAGTGGTTTTGTGCTTCTGTGGCTTTCATCAAGGATCACAATTTAGAGTAGCCAAATCCCATAGTGTTGATCACAAAGAATTTCAGGGCAAATTTCATCCACAGACAGTATCTTTAGGGCTATTCCTGGGTCTCTTTGAATGATACTGAGCACCAAGTCAATCTTCTTACAGCTAAGGAGAAGCAAAAGTGTAAGAGAAAGAGTGGGGAAATGAAATGGAAGGCAGAAGAGGTCAAAGTGCACCTAGTGCTCCATGTGCTGGGAACAAAGCAGGGAACAAGACCCCAGTCTATCCTGTGGGCAGATTTATTTGGAAAGACCTATGTAATGAATATTTTCAATTTTGTAGATTTTAGGGTCTCTAGTTACAACTACTCAACTTGGTTCCTGTAGCACAGAAGCAGCTGCAGACAGTGCATAAAGGAATAGCAAGGCTTTATGCAGCCCATGAGCCATCTTGTGTCCACCGATTCTGGCAAATAAACAGAGAAA